GTTCAGACTTCAGAAGCTGAGAACTACAGTTAGTGGCTTTAACTACAGGGCTCGGCGAGTCGTCACCTTAGGCCTGGGGGGTGAAGAGCCGCAGAGGTTTTGCTGTCGAAAGTGAGACGTCTAACTTGTGGATTCTATCATGGTAATATAGGGCCCGCAATAATTACCTACATTATTTTGGGGGCCCCTTAGTATAATTGTGGTATAATGGGCCCCAAAACCCTATTCGAAATATTCAGGCCCCTATATTAGGGTTTGGGATTTTGGGTTTGGGGCTTTGGATTTAGGGTTTAGGGTTTCAGAGTCGTTGCCAGAAGGTCCCCCGACTGTTCGAGGGTGTGGAAGTCGTCTCAATCCAAATCTCGGCCACGACCCAAGACCCTGGACCCTAACACGCCAAACCAAACAGAGATTGTAGGGTGTTGGGCTAAGGTGGGATTTAGGATTAAGGGTTTGGGATTTAGGCCTCGTCATTTAGGACAGCATTTCAGCATATCTCCTAGACACAAGTAGCAACCCGATACACTATAGGCGCATGCTCTGTTATGTGCGCCGCAAAACACTGAGCTTTGGGCGGTACCTGTGCGACATCATCAAATGAAAACATGCGCATAAAACGGTGGGGGCCGTCTCACTCTTTTCAGAACCTACTTTGCCCTGAACCTCAACTTGTTCGGGCCCATTGGCGCCAGAACACGAAGCCTTAGACACCTCAAAACGTTGAGGATCCTGACCTGAACACTCATGTTTAGGGTTCAGGGTTTAGGGCGGCTTCCCAAATTCCTCGGACTCTTTCATCTCGTAGCTGCGAGGACGCTCTTTGCCGAGAGCCTTACCGTCGTTGCGGACCTTTGCCGCCCTTCCCGGCCCCGTTGAGACAATTCATCATGCTTTTGAATACATGATGTCATGGTCATTGGTAGACGAGGTCAAATAGCATATATGCACTGCTTTGCAACTCATGGAGCTCGATAATAATGCTCATTGTTTGACGGCAATCATTGCGATGGTCAGAGTATGTAGAACACGTGACACCCGGAATCTCACGATGTGAGTCGACGGCTGGGGCTCCTCAGGGTCTGGAGTTTGGCTGCTGTGCCCTTAGGTTGGCCGTGCATAGCATAGTGTAGTTCAGCTTTCATGGTTGACTGGTTGCTTTAAGTGTAGTTTTTTCGTCTAGGCGCAGTGGCAATACCATATTGCTCCGTTGAAAACCTGACACTCGAAACCCTGTATGGTTTAGGGGGTACCAGCGCAGAAGCCTACCTGAGGCTCATATGAGAATGCTCTCCGAAACGAAGAGAAGCTGAGCAGCCAGAGTCCCAAGGCCCTAAACCCCAGGCCCTCAGCTGCGAACCCACGAACCCCGACATGTTTAGCCTTGGAGTGAACTTTCGCGCAGCCCTGGCTATAGACAACGGGGGTGCATCAAGCTACTACCTATAGTCTCCATTGTAGTTCCTTTTTTGGTCAAACCAATTGTATATTAAGGATTTTACAAGGTATCCCCAAAAAAGGAACTACAACGGAGACTATAGGTAACCGTCGGAGCCGGGACTGCGGCCAGGGTGGTGCCAAAGGAGCGCTTTTTCGGCAGAGCGAGGTGTTCGAAGCTGAGTCTCAGGATAGATTCCAGTCCTGAACAGGCTGTGCTTGTTCACATTATATTTTTTAGAACCAGGATCTATAAAGTGTGGTTTCAAAACACTCTTATATAGAATAATGGCTTTGCGTTATGAAAGACGTAGTAGCGGAGGCGCCTGCGTGTGCTGCCATACACTAGAGTGTTTGTAAAACCCCCAAACCCTGCTCTGCTTAATCAGGCCCCTATATGGGGGTTTCAGAAAATAG